ACAAATTCGCTTGAAAAGCTCTCCTCCAGATGCATACTCCATAACGATGGCAAGATGTGTAGGTGTTAAAATAACCTAAATTATTAATGTCCACAGTCAGTTAATCAAAACATTACCTTAATTTTTCAATATTTATATAATAGTAAAATGAGTTAAGTATTAACATTACCTCTTTAAATCTGACAATATTGGGATGCCTCAATGATCTATGATTAATAATTTCTCTTTGAACATTTTCATCAATCTGTAAAACAGCAAGGTAGCACAAATTTAATGCCCAAATTATTTTCTAAAAGTTAGTTAAGTAGTTGAGAAAACAAAGAAGTCGGTCCTTATGTGTTACTATCTTTTGGAATAATAAGTAATTACTATACTAACAAACAAACATCAAATAAAACATTTCCGAAATTAACAAAATTAACATCCAATTTATCCAAACGAATATATTTCCAAAAATAAACCAAATCAACAACAACCAAAAAAAGGAAAGAGATCGCTGTTTATGAATTAAGAAGCTAACCTTATCGCCTCTCTCGATGTACTTGACAGCGACGAGCTCTTTACTAACCTTATCTCGCATAAGCCGAGCGACTCCGAAATTACCCGATCCGATGTCCCTAACGAAATCGTACCGGTCACTATCGTGCATAATCGGCATATCCATAGCCGGGCCGACCGTCAAGTCTGCTCGATCCATTTTTTTTTGCTATCTTTTTCGGTTTCCGATTCTACCCCTTCAAAGAAAGAAGTAACTCACCGCCACATCACCGAACTCAGCTGTTTCGTAAGCGAATCATTGAGTTAAAAGGAGCAGGTTTATAATAAAAAGAACAAGGAAAGCTTATTAGTTTGATCGGCGACTAATAGTGGTTCAGCAACAGTTGAGGGAGGAGGGAGAAGGACCTTTTGGGAAGAGGAAGAGATGAGTCCAAGGAAATATCCGGTAGAAAAGCTAAGGGAGGATAAGAGAAGCACGGCGTCGTTTGGAGGTTGTTGCGTGGTGGGTAACCAATAGGATTGGCTGCTTTTTATGATTGTCTTATTATTTCTGGATTAATTTTACACCTTTTTTTATTCAGAATTTGTCGAATTAGAAAATTGAATGACTTAAATGTCCTTTTGTTTGGATAATATTTTAAAGCGCAGCGAGTCACGTGATTTTATGACAATTTTATTCGGTATTATGCTGTCTTTTATCTGTAAAATTTGATCGGACGGTTTTGGCTTTATCATTGTCCGTATCAACAGCAACCATAACATTTTTCATGATTATCCTTTTGCCTTTTGTTTTTTTTTCTTTCTAGAAACTGCTACCTTTTAAGTTCAAAATAAATAAAATAGACGATTTTATTTTTATTTTGTTTTCTAGTAATTGATGTCTATAAAAAGTATTTCTAAAATTACTTTTTAAAATGTGTATTTATTAAGTCATTTTTATTTTCATATTCTAAAAAATGTGGGCCAAAATTGATATAATAATTATATTTTACCTCAAATCTTTCATTTTTGCAATAAGTAGATTTATAGTATTATTAAAAAATAAAAATTATCGTTGTCTGTAAACTTAAATGCTAAATTGCTTAACAAAAAATTAAACACCTTATTTGATTATTTTAGGTCATAAAATATATATTTTATATATATATATATATATATATATATATACATATATATATCCGCGCTTAAGAAAGTCACATACTGCATAGTCTTAGTCGTCAATTCCATCTTGGAATAGTATTTAATTGATGAAAATACATATTTACATTTAATTATAAAAATATTTTATTAATATAATATATTTTAAATAACAAAAGATTGAGCATGGAAATTAAACCTTTATTTATTTTGGATTGAGGAAAACTGAAATGCAGTTTGATTAGCTGAGAGTGCATGGAAATTAGTGTATACGACACGCACGGTATAATTACCTTGGAAAGGGTGTTTCGGTAAATTCAAAAAGGGGTAGATTGTATCAATTGGTGGACAAAGCGGCCTTGGGAACTAAGGAAAGTTTATGACTTCCAAGCAGTATTTTTCCAATTAAAGAATATTAGCAATGATCACAATAGATTCCATGCGCACAAACCAATAAGGAAAGTGTAAGAGATGAAAACTTAATTTAAGGTTAAAAAAATAATTTTAGACGTAATTAAAGATATGATAAAAAAATTTGACAATTTTGATTTAATTGAAAATACTATATTTCATTTTTATTATTAAAAATATGTAAACATAAATATATACTTAAATATTTTAATTCTAATTTTAGTTTATTTTTATTTATTTATATATATACACACAAATAATGTCCAACTTACTAAAAATGAAATTGTGAATTTATATTTGATACAATGGAAATTGTGTGTTCTTAATATGGATATAGATGACTGTACATTTGGTTTTTTTATTAATTTAGGATGATTATAAGATAATATTTGTTTAAAGATAATATTTGTTTAAAAATGATTGTCCCTTGTTCCCATATGTAATAGGGTAAGGAGGAAATAAAATAGTAGGCTGCCCCCAATACTAGGTTGAGAACAGCTTCCGTAAGAGACCTCCAAATTATGAAATGCCTTTCATGGGACTCGATCCCACGTCCTCAAGGTAAAGAACCTTGTGTTTTACCAACTGAGCTGGATAGGGGTCATGGGATCGAGTCCCACGGAGGGCATTTCATAATTCGGAGGTCTCTTACGGAAGCTGCTCTCAACCTGGCGTTGGGGGTAGCCCACTATCCTACCTCCCCTTTACCCATTATATATGGGAATAAGGGTCAGTTAATTATTTGTTTAAAAATAATTTTTAATCATTTAACATTAAATGTTCATATCTTTAATATTTAAAATACTCAAATTCAAAACTTTAAAAAATAATAACAATTTTTTTATCACTTACATTAATTAGTTCGTGCATATATTATCTTCTCTGAATAAAGAAAAGGTATGGTTTTCTTTTTCTTATTTTGTTGAGAACCAACAATTATCCTAAATGGTTATGTAAGATAAATCCAATGAATAAGTGGAAATGAGAATTGTCTTTTTCCAAAGCTCAAAATACGAGAAGCAAAAACAAAGGCATTGGAGTATGTATTCTTATTGAGCCATGTTTGACAATCTTAATGGTTAATTTTATTAGAGTGGTTTTCTGGTAATATTATTAGAACGTACTTCTGTTAAATTTTTGGCACCCAAAACGATATTATTAGCCCACTAAAATAGCATTTTTTTATGAAGACCGGACATGTGAGAAGGGTTATTTTCTGTGTGACGGGTATTTTTTTACCGACTCCCTTAGATTTACTTCATTTAGGATCAAAATTGAAAGAAATAAGAATAATGGACAAAACCTTTTATAAAATTGTACATGTCAATCGGACAACAACACACATGTATAGGTATTGATTTCAAACTTCATGAGTGTATATTTAGAACACTATATGTAAACAGTTAAAAAATACATATATATACAATGTAAGATTTGAGAATATCGTACAAAAATTAGTTGATTTTGAGTTATCAAAAACAATCCTTAAACTTGATCAGACTGGTATTAGTACGATAGTTAAAGACACTTTTTTTATGAAATACTTGAGATCCAATTATCTAAATCTGTCTTTGATTGTTGTATTGATACGAACCTGATAAAGTTTAAAAATTATATTTGACGATTCAAAATATTTATCATTATATTATTAAATCTCATGTTGTTTATATATGAGTTTTTAAAAATGTTTAAATATTCTCCTATAAACATAAATCGGAAATGTTGTGTACCAAAAATTGCTTACGGTGAATATTTTAGGACAAAAATTAACAACTCGATTTATATTATTTTCCAATCTTAAAGACATCTAAGGTCTCAACTTTATGTTGTAATATCTTCACCTAAGTGTGATGTTGATAAAAACGATATTCTTCAACCTTAGAGTTCCTTACCATCTTTATCGATGCTGGTGTGAAATTATTTAAAGATTGTAGTCTGGTTTTGGAAGGGTAGTTTAGATAGGAGTTTCCAGGTAAATGTGAGGGCAAATTTTAAAAAAAATGAAAAGAAATCCTTGAAGATGTTGGTAATGTTCAATCTCATATACTATTGGAAATATATTGGGAATGAGTATTTATGGTTTGGATTTTTTACTTCCTTGTTGAGAGTGAAAGAGAACAAGAGGGACTCTCGCGCACCGCTGTCGCTGCCGTCTCGGCTCGTGGTAGTGATAATACGTGTCTTCGACACGTCTACGCAGATACTATCTTTTTAGAGAAAATTCTTGAGAAATTTCTCTTTGAAAAAACAAATGGAATTTCAACTGATATTCATAGGATGCTGATGACTGTTTAAATTCAAATGATAACAGTTAGTTTATGAGAGTTATCAGAAATTAAACAATTTTTCCTAAATTAAATAAAAAACGTCAAGATGTATCTGGACTGATTTCCAGCTTTGTACAAAGGGGACAAGCTATTAATATCAGGAGTTATAACTGCTGAATAATGATGCAATGAACCTGAACTATTTTTTAGTCAAGTTCATATAAACGTTTCAGCTGTTACAAAGAATGATTTTAATCCTGATTTTTTATATGGACGATTTTAACCTTATTTCTAGCCTATAAATAGAGAGCTAAATTCAACTTCTCAACACACTTTGAACATTTCATAATTCACTCTTCAAGTGTTTTCTAAAGTTTTTTCTGTGTTTTCCGATTAGAAGTCCAATATCATCAGCAGTCCACTCCAATTTCGAATGTACGAAATTCGAAGCGATTGTGTTAACCTCAGGGACGATCCGAGCGATTACACACATCGGGACGGACACGATTTACTAATCTGTTCTTTTTCGATTATTGTTTATCTTTCTGTCAGATGGTGTGGAGTTTTTTTTCTTAAATGTGCGGGCTCCACAGCTCAGTTTCACAAAATTCGCCTCAAACGAATAGCGGGTAGCGGGTAGCGGGTGATCCAACATTTTCATTTATTTCCACTCATGTCCTCTTTATTTCTCAGCTCCTCAATATTATCTGCTCCTACCTGACTCACTGAGTCCGAAAAAAACGAAGCTAAATAGTAGACTCGGACTCTCACTGAAATGGTGTCGGAATCGGAATTAATCTCCCGGCTCCTCAGTACAACGACTACAGCAATTGTGAGGCGGAGATTGGAGGAGGATTTCGGCATTGACTTGTCCCAGAAAAAGAAGTTCATTAGGGAGCAAGTCGATTTATTTCTCCAAAACGAGTTCGAAAATGCCGAAGGTGAAGAGCAAGAACTCGAAGAAGATGTTCAATAGGAGAAAATTAAATCAGAGGAAACCGACGGGCTCTGATTCGAACGAGGACGATGTGGAGAGTAAAAAAGCCAGAAATAAAAGGGCTCTCGTAAAGAAAGGGTCAGTTATTTACAAAAATTTACGTAATATTAAATGAAATGCATTTTTTTTCTACAATCTGCTTATTTAAATTCCTGAGAATTTTCTAGAATCTGAATTTCTTGTTTCCTTGCCATTCTTTGATGTTTTGGGAGCTGGAAAGAAGGAAATGAGTTGGTCTTAAAATGGTACAAACAGCATTTTTACGTTGCAAAATAACATAGTTAGCTGGTGTTTGGATTTATCCAGATTTAAATGGTTTCTTATCTAAAGTTGCATAAGTCTTACATGTTGGACAGACTTCTTGTAGTTGCTAAATCTTATGCAGTGCTATTTCACATTCGACAGTGTTGAATAATGGGGTAAATAAAACAGAAAGAACACAATAATTTTAACGAGTTTCAGCAATGTGATTATGTCATCGGTGCCTTACGCGACGCTAGAATTTTATTCAATTCAATATCTCATAGGTTTAGATTACATCTCCTTTTATAATAAATAAATCCTGGTACACATTTATGAGTCATACCTAATAGACAATGAGCATATTTAAAAGTGATTATCGTGTGAAGTGCTAATCTTATATCAGCAGCTTGTTGTCTCCCTTGAGTCCAACTAATTTATCTAGAATCTGCCTAGAATAAGAATTTCGACCTACTTTGTAATGCAAGCTTTGTTGCTAGTTGCGCACTGACTTAGAGGTTGCAGTTGTCATCAAACTTACATTTTCTTGTTTTCAAATTTATGGTTGTTTCATTTTTCATGTAGGCCAAAAAGAGTCAATAATGAAGTTAATAAAAGGGGCGGTGGTTTTAACAAAGTTTGTAATCTTTCCCCACAACTTCAGGAACTTCTAGGAGTCCCTTCATTGGCGAGGACTGAGGTACCTCTAAAGTATCCTTCAATTTCTTTTTAGCTTATTTTTAGTTTCGAGGTTAAGGAAGCGGCCTTGTTCTAAATTTTCTGTTCTAATTTGATGCTAGGTAGTCAAGCAAGTATGGGCTTATTTCAGAGAGAGAAATTTGCAAGACCCAGATAACAAGAAAAATGTAATTTGTGATGAATCATTGCATGCACTTTTTGGTGTTCATTCCATTGATATGTTTCAAATGAACAAAGCCCTGTCAAAGCATATTTTACCCTCGGATTCAGATGAAGGTAATATCATATTTCTACCATTTTGCATTTGCTAAACTTATTATGATCTTGAGCTCTAACTTCTTTACTCGTATTGAAGTTGAGTGTAAAAGTTGCTGATTCTCTACAAAATTGGCTGTTGTTTTCACCTTGGAATTTTATTTTAATACTGAATAGCATGATGAATTGGTCATTGTTGTCACCTCAGAATTCTATTATAATTCTGAAAACCATTTCTTAGTTTTATCTCACACACTCTGTTCCTATGGCATTGTTTACCTAGTTTTTTTTAACTAAATCAAGGAATAATATCTTTTGGTTCTTGTTCAATACGATGCAAATACATATATATTAACTTTAAGCACTCTATTGTTTTTATGAGGTGCTAAATTTAACTATATTTTCTTTCATGCCACAGTTGTCTCAGCCAAGTTAACAGAGAAAGAAAAGGCAGACAAGCATCAGAGAGAAGGTGAGAATGCTAAATGATTCTATAAGGTCTTTTACGTAGATCTTAATTTGCATTGATACGAGTACGGGTTATACGTTATCCTGTATACCATTACTAGCATTAGCAACCTGCAGCTCGGATTTCGCTTCTTGGTATCATTTCAACCATGTAATATATTGCTTTATATGCTTTTTCGCATTCTCGTACTTCTTTCATGCTTCATCCTAAACATTTAGGGAATATTTTGTCCACTATCCAATCCCAATGTGATGATACCTTTGATCTCTCACGTGTTGCAATTTTGTATAGCTTTATCAGTTAATTAATTAGCTTCGTTTTATCATAATTCATAACCATGTTGGTAGTAAACGGTTCACCATTATAGGTTCTTCTTAACCTTTCCATTTTTTCTGTTTTTCTTCTTTTTCGTTTCAGATCCGGATGAACCACAAGGAAAGGAAAAGCGACAGAAGGGATTTCTTGCTCCTCTTCAACTTTCAGATGCACTAGTAAAATTTCTTGGTACCGGAGAAAATGAGCTCACTTGGGCCGTTGTAATAAAGAGACTGCGGGATTACATAAAAGAAAATAACCTCCAGGTATACCGTAGTTGCTGTTTATTTATATTTAGAGATGATCATACTGATCAGCCTATTCATTCTTTATGGAGCCACTCTTTTCTGAGTTGGATACATACATGAATGATTGTTTAAAATGTTTTCAAACTTTGTTGGCTGTTTCGTGAAGGATCCGTCCGAAAAAAGGAAAGTAATATGTGATGAAAAGCTGAAAGAACTCTTCGATGTCGAAACGTTCCATGGCTTCACTGTGACAAAAATCTTAGTTTCTCATTTTCTCAAGACATGACAATCCGAATCCGATGCTCCGATATTTGTTGTTGTAAATCTCAAGGGAAAGTCTGAAGGAGCGATAACCTAATTTAAGGCTAAAAAACAATAGGGGATGAGCACAATCGAAATGTAATAAAAAACATAATATTTTTGGAATGTTAGAAAAAAATTAACATTTTAGATTGCGTTAAATATTATGATTTTTATCACATTTCAGTTGCATCCATTTTTTACGGTTATTTAATATTAAATTAGGCTATCGTACAACATAATTACCCTAGTAACAATAACATTTTTATGCTCTAATTCTAGTTGGTTACCGACTTTTAAATTTTATTGTAATTTGTCTCTATTTAAAAAAAAATAACCATACTTATTCCATAATTCCCCAACTTCATCTTATGTTCTTAATAAAAACTCAGGAAGAGAATCAACTTCTATACTTTGTGTTCTTTTTATCAAATAATCAATTTATAATTTTTTATAATAATAAAACATAAAAGTAAACCATCTGTTCTTAGAGTTTATTTATATATTTTATCTACAAAGAAGAAGATAAAGTATATGTACTTGAAGATCAGCCACACATAATACAAAATTCTTCATAGATTTTAATAGTGTGAGAATAAATACAAGAAAGCCTCTTCAATGTTAAAACAAAAACCAATCAGTACCCAAACACCCCACCGCCGATGAATCAACCAATCCTTATCTCTACCACGTACTGTTAGATTATACAATCAAATCAAATTACCATAATTTCATTAATCACTCATACCTCTTGTTTGTTTCTTGAAGGACATTTTGATAGCAAAATATTTTATTCGAATTATTTCTAAATTAATATTTTTATTGTATTTAAATTGGGATCAATCCAGCTGCATAAAAGATTGTTGTTTTCAAACTTTTTTATTTTAGAAAACACGTTCTCAGAGAAAACAGTGGAAGATAAAATAGAAAGCATTTTCATTGGAGGGGATGTCAATGTTGTAATTTGAATCTACTTCTTGAAATATTATTTCAATTTAAATATAAGATATTTGAAATAAATGAATAATAAAAATGATCAAATAATCATCTAAATTTAGTTATAAAATTTGGTAATTGGTATGATATTCAGCCGTAACATGTGACTACATTTTTTAAATGAAAGAAAGACGAAAGGTCTTGAAATGAAGGGAATCTGAAAAAGGAAAAAAAAGAAGAGAAGAGAAACCAATGAATTTGGTTTAATCGGTGGAAGGGACGATTCTTTTGTAGCCGACGGGTATGAACAGACGAATCTTTGGCTGCCTCGTTCGATTCTCTCTATCCATTAAACATGGTCAAAAGAATCCATCACATGCCTCCCACACCCTTCGTTTATTATCTTTATACCAATAAAAGATGAGTTTCACGTCTCAAACCAACCAAGACAAAACTGCTCTATTTCTTTCTTTCTTTCTTTTGGTTGCCCGTTCCAAGTTTTCGTCTAGATTGATTTCGATCAATCCAGACGTCCCTTGATTTCAAGGTTTCGTCATAAATAATTCAGATAAATCTGTATCATACACTTGACTTTGATGAGTGATTCTTCTAATGAGAATTTTATACATACACAAGAATTTAAACTCGAAACATAACTTAAACGATAATGCAATTTGATTTATCAAAAAAGAAGAAGAAAATATCAAATCTGAAGTGATTGCTATAGAATATTTGACGGTACTTTTTTTTGTCATTTCGGGTTAAATCCGTCATTTCATTTTGCTCGATAGTAACACTTCCGTCTGTGCTAGGTAAGAAAAATTATGTTGAAAGGTAAAATAATTAATATTTTTTTATAAATTTAAACTATCGATGAGATATAAATGACACAAACGTTTCTAACATGATTCACAGCATCACTCATATTTACCACAAGAAAGGAACCCTCAACGCAGCCTACATATGATTTGCTATCTTTTCTCTTAATTTTTATTCATATATGTAAATTATAAAATATTTAAATTACTTGTCTTAAAGGTGGCCTTATTCGATTTCACTTAAATCTTAAATTATTTGTAATTTTTATATTTATATTTTACCATCTCCAATTTTTACCGTTTTATATGATATTTATTAGGAGATTCTATTCTATATAATATTGACATTAACCAAACGTTTGATGATAAATCTTTTATCATGATAAAATAATTATTTTGTTACACATTATTTCTCTTTTTTTAAATTAAGTGTAAAATATGCTCTTCTTTTTATAATCTAACTTTGACTGTATTTTCATTTTGATAATTAAGTTAAAAAAAAATAATTTGAGTATGTAAGTTTTGAATTGTTTCGGTTTTATTACTCGGACATTAAATTAAAAGCAACATGATGACGCGGTTGGTTTTTCTGCCGACATGACATGGATGGAAGTCATCTTCAACATCATTGTTCTTCGATACTTTAGACATCGAAAAATTTGTCTCATCTTTTATTAAGATTTTTTTTAAAAATTTCTTCAAAACTCGTGAAACTTCAGTCCAAAACTCGAATTAAAACAATTTTAATCTATCATCTCAATCGTTTGATCACCCTTGAAGCAAGATATATAGCTTGGCTCCTCTTTCTTCTTCTCCCTTCGTTGATTTAACAAAAGATGCTCCGACAACGAAAGATTAGGTTATATGGGAAGGAAGATTTTATGAATAATATCACAAATTTTTGAAAAAAATTGGGATATTTTCATAATTTTTTAAAAGATGAATGCGTTACCCTAATAATATTAAATAATTGACGATGAAGTGACAAAAAGCAGAAAAATGTCAAAACTGAATAATTAAATTGAAAGATTTGAAGTTCAGTAATCAAAATAAGAATAGGATCAAAATTGAGTGTTAAAAGTTCATAATTTATCCCTAAACTAATCAATGTGGAGGGTATAGTGGGCAATAAGATACTTTCCCTTGCACACATGTGGAAGGAAAGTTCCAAGAACAGTTGGGATACCCTTATCTTATTATAAACAATTATTATTTAGGATGAATATGAAAAAGACTAAAATACCCAAGAAAATCTTATTGGGAAATCATCCAAAAGACGTGGGTCGACTGTTTTAATTTTATGGTCTATTTTTAAAACTGTGGACCACATCCATTCCACAGTCCACACCTAACCTTAAGAATCTTATGACACTGTAATTTCATTTCCAGTAAAATAAATTCTACAGAGAAAACAAAAGAGAATATTTCTTGGGTAAACTATCTATTTTGTCACTTATTTATTATTTATTTTGTTTTAGTCACTTATTTATTATTTAATTTTTATTTGGTCACCAGTTATTTTTTTTAAATCATATCTAATATTACATTTTAGTTTTGTTTTTATTACTCGTAGTTAATCTATTAACGATGATACTGATGTAATGTTTTTTTTATTTTTTAATGATGATATGACATTATCTTATGGTAACACATCGTCATCATTATTAATTTTTTAACAATGGGTAATCAAAATAGAACTAAAAGTAACATTACGTGTGATTTTGAGAAAAAAAAATAGTTAAGTGACCAAAAAGAAATCAAGTCATATATAGATGACCAAATAAGATAGTTTACCAATATTTCTTTTAAAAATTTCCGCGTGGCTCGTACGGAACCTAAAAAAACTCGCCGAGTTTATAACACCGAGTCACCGAGTTTTAAAATACGCGAGGACCCGATGGGGCTAATAAAAAGCAGGCGGCGAATCTTGAATCTTTCTTACATGTCTATATAAAACAACAACTGGGCTGTTGCTTGTCATGTTTGTCCTGGCAATGTTAGGAAAAGAGAGAAAAACAGGAAAATAGAAGATGGATTTGAGCTTGGATTTGAGTCTGGTTTATGTTCCGAAAATTACATCCGAGTTTCTGCAGGAAGTTTCGAAGATCAAAAATGGGTTTCAGAGATTATCAAAGATCAGTGATTATATTAGAAGATTGGAAGATGAGACGAAGAAAATCGATGCCTTTAAGCGTGAACTTCCCCTTTGCATGCTCCTTCTCAAAGACGGTACTTTTTTCTATTTTAATTATGTGCGATTTTTTTATGATATCTGTGGTGTTTAATTTGTTTTTTTTTCTTTTTAACGGGTTACAGTGATTGAGAGATTAAAGGAGGAAGAAATACAGTGTAAGGAAATGAATGATGGATCTGTGTTGTCGTCGAAGGGAAATACCGAGGAAAATGGAAAAGAAACTATGGAAAACGATGGCGGTGATATGAAGAACTGGATGAGTTCCGTTCAGCTATGGAACTCTGATGCCGACAACGTTGATCCCGACAAGAAACAAAACACAGTTCCTGAGCTCAAACCGGTAATTCCCAAACTAGTTTTTTTCCCCTTAATCTTGTTTTATGGGGGAAAGGTTGTAACATTTCTGATTTGAAATTTTGGCAGAGAAGTGAATACCAAGGAGATGATCTGTTTAAGAAAATCGAGGGAGGGGCTTTTGTGCCATTTAAGGATCATGTTGATAAAAAAATTCCAGGCCTTTCCCTTATGACCCCAAGCTCCGAATTACCTTCCTGTATCTTGAAGAACAATGGCGGTTGTGTAATTGGTTCAGGCTCTTCTTTATATGCACAACAGAATCAAATCAAGTTTCAGACAAAGTCACATAACCGACACGAGGACCAACAAAATCAGCAGCAGAATTCTAGGAAACAAAGGCGGTGCTGGTCGCCTGAGCTTCATAGACGATTTGTTGAGGCACTTCAACAGCTTGGAGGTTCACAAGGTTAGACCTTTTTGAAATTGGAAATATAAATGTTTCAGATTTATGGGATTTATTTATTGTCTTTTATGAACAAGGGATTGGAATCTTTGTTTTTCAATAAATCTAATTGGTTTATTTCTTTCTCTTTGACAGTGGCCACTCCAAAGCAGATTAGAGAACTGATGCAAGTTGAAGGTCTTACCAATGATGAAGTGAAAAGCCATTTGCAGGTTAGTCTTTAGCCTTTGAAAATCTGTTCATTTTTATCATCTTTAATCAATTTCGTTTCTGCTTACTGATTTTCTGTGTGAATTT